CCTAATGCAACTCAATTTTATTCCACAAATATCTATACGGGTCTTACACAGAGCACAGAAAGACAGTGCAGAGAGAAAATTCTGGTGAATTTAGCTGGGTGGACCTCATGGAAGAGGTGAGGTTTCAGCAGGGCCCAAAGGATCTGTCTTTGGTTGATCCAGATGGGCCAAAGGGTACTCCGAGGTAGAAAGGGTGAGCAGAGGCTGCTATTCTGGAAAGCACAGGACATGGAAGATGTGACGGGTAGGTGAGGAGGATGGAAGCGAGGATGCACATGGAAAGGAGAGTTGTGAAGAATGTGGCTGAAAATGGCTCATCTCTTGGAGGAGTCTGAGAAGAGTAGAGCACATACATCTCTGCACTGGAACAGCAGTCTGCAGCTTTTTGAATTTGGGGGGTCTTCTTTAAGAAAAAGAATGCAAAATTATGAATTTAAGAAGATGTTTAGACAAAAATTATCTGAAATGAAAAAAAAAATCCTCCCTAAGTTATTAGAGCCTTGAAGATTTGGTCTCTATCATCTGAGACCTCTTTAAGCAATTTACCAGAAATGCCTGCATAGAAAAATCCTCTGTAATTAAAACCTGGCTTCTCCCTCCCCACCAGGACACTGTCAGTCCCAGCATTCTCTCCACTCGCAGGAGCTTATTCTACTGAGAGGCCCTGGAGTTTAAACATCCCTAGTGTCACAGTAAATTCACTTGGGCAGAAGTCACCAAACTTAGCTGATTCCTTGTCAGTAAAAAGTGTGTGGCCACGGGTCTGGGGTGCTGTGATTGGTCCCTTCGAGGTTACGTACTTACCCCTGTGTCTGGGGTGGGGATATCTGTGCTAAGCAGCATCTTCCCCTCTCTCCAAAATGCATGGTTAGCAAAGGGAAGGAACAGTTTCGTGAAAGAATGGAGGCAGTGAAGTTTGAGCCACCAAAGTAGTATTTAAAAGGATAAGTACGGTAGAGATGTAAAGAAGAGACTGGAAAATGGAAGGTCGTTAGGTAGGAGACCCAGTTAGGAGACCAACTCCAATCTGAAATGATGGTGTCTTGGACTAAGCTGATGGAAGCAGGTAAAGAAATAAAGGATCAGCCGATAGAACTATTATGAAGAAGAGATTAAGCAAACTAAGCAAAACTAAGAGATTAAGCAAACTGTGAAGAAGAGATGAAGCACACTCAACTTGGGCCTTGTATCTTTTGCTGTGATTCGTGAATCCGTAACAGCCCAATAGATCACCAAATACCACCAGGCACTGCTTAGGTATAGAATCAGATTGAGTTTTATCATGTCCAGTTAGTGCCCTCAAAGTGAGCCATGGATGCCAGCTGTGACTTACTTCAAACCTTATAAATATATGCTCACTCAACGCCTCTCAGGGTCTAGATTTTGCCTTTTTTCTTTCAAAGAGGCCACCACATATATTGTCCCTGCGCATTGAGGTAGCAGAAAGCTAGTGCCTTGGTTAAATGACCTCCTAAGACAATTTTATTCCTGTCTTTGCAATGGTAACATCATTATTTCTTGAATCCCAGTCTCTGACCTCCTTCTAAGTAATAGGCAGGTCAGCTTCCATATGTAATGGCTCCCACTCAGGCCATAAAGCTTTGATATACTTAAGCTAGTCTTTCACCAAAAGTCAGCAGTAAACAACCAGCCTTTAAAGCTTTCCAAGAGGCAAGAGAACACTCGTTCTGTTGCTATAATTATTACTTCTCTCTTTGTGATGACCCTTGAGGAATATAGTTAAAAAGCAGAGATACCACCTTTCTATTTTTCTCCATCTGTTTATTTTGCACAGTAAATTGCCAGCTCTTTGACATAGGAGTAAAACAGTGCTGTGCTCTTATCTGTAATTCTTGAAAGTGCAGCAAAGTATATACTCTTTAATTCCAACGTAATCAAGAATTTACTTTCCACAACCTGCATTTCATCTCTTTCTCATATGGCTGTTGGTGTTTGGGAGTAGTTTCAAGTTGTTTGAGAATGTGCTTGCATCAACAAAATTGGCAATTTATTTCTGCTTACAGTGTAAAGACAGAGAATTGAAAATTCCAGTGAGGTTAAGGGGAGATCTACCTGGCAATCTGGTTCTCCTGGCTTGTGACACTATTACCCAAAGAATACTTAATTAGGCAACACATTCATACTGACAGGTGCCATGATCCTAAATGCATAGGCCAAGTGTCTAGGCTTTCTAGTGTCATTTTGTGTAACTCAAAACCTTTACAGCTGAGAGAAATGGAACTTTTCTCATGATTTGTGATCCAGTTGGCAATATCGGTTAAGCAATCATGCCTCTGATTGGCATGGAGTAGGGGGAGTAAGCTTCTCCCCCAGGGGGATTTAGGAAATGGAATAATTGATTGTGCTCTGAGTAGCTCTGCAGTCAGAGATAGTTGAGATGCTAATTAATGCACACATCTGCAACCATCAGTTCAGTTTTATTCAACAAATACTTGTTTGGTTTACCCTCTGTGCCAGACACTATGTTATGGGCTGAAAACCCGAAGCTGAATAAAAAATAGCCTTATTCCTCTTCCATGCAGATTTTGTTGGAGGAGCAAGAATTGTTAATAGATTATTCTAATGCAGTGTGGTAAACTCAGTGATAGAAATGTATTAAGGTGGCCCATGACAAGCGATACCTGACCCAGTCACCAGGAAATAGGGGAAGAGATCAGGAAGGGATTCCTGGAGGAGAGGCCACTGGAACCAAGTGTTTAAAAAGGCAGTAGGACTTAGGGGAACAGCGAAGGCAAAGTCCTGGAAGCCTGAAAGAGCATGAAGTGTGTGGAACACCAAGCAGTTTGAATTCCCAGTGGCTAAAGTCGAAGATAAAGAGTGGAGGCTGGTGTAGAGAAGTAGGCAGAGACAGATCATGGAGATGCTTGCATGCCATCCTAAAGAGGTAGAACTTGATCCCATAGGCGGAGGTGGGGTGACAGAGCTTTAAAAGTCATGAAGTGAGTGACTAGTCTGGTTTAATTTGGGTTTAAAAGCCTGAGTGGAATGGATTTGAGAGGGGCGAGGCTGGGGGTAGAGGACAAAAGTCTTTGCAGCAGTACCAGAGAGAACTGTTGAGAGCCTGAGGAAGGGCAGCAGGCAAGATAATAAAGGGGATGATGGGTGGACACAGGAAATTTCCTGGAGTTGAAGCTCAGGGCAGGGGTCTGGCTGGGGATGGAGGTGTGTGCATCATTACCATGTGGGCTGTAGCTAAAGCCAGTTAGATAGGATTAGCATGCTCATGTGAAACGTATAAAGTAAGAACAAGAAGCTTTGCGGTCAGCTGGGATACCACCTCTTTGAGAGGACAGAGGAAGCAAATGCCAGTGAAGGAAACTGCGGGAGAGGGAAGAGGAGACTCAGCAAAGCGTGTTGTGACACAGCCAGGTAAGCAGAGAGCTGAGGACATTTTGACAATGATATTGAATCTTCCCATCTGGTACCGCACTGTGAAAGTGAGGGACTGTGTTAAGGAAAAAACTTTTCTTTCTGGGTCCAAGAGGGGTGTGTTTTCAAAACCATAAGTTTCCCAGCTCCACTCTTTCATCCACGCCCCTATCCAGGAACCTAGAGTTCCTTGTCTAACTTTCCTGCACATGGGTGAGGTAGAGGAATCCAGGTGGACCTCTTTGTTCAAAAAGCACCCCCAAAAGCTCTGGGAGGAGGGGCCTCTGTTGCAGAACTAGCAGCCAATCTCGTATCAGAGTCAAAGATCAATCACTGCAGAGGAGGTTTTAAAGAACTCCTCTCATTGGACAAGAACATGAATGGGGCGGGAATAACTTCAGGGTTAAAACCCCTGCTGATCCTTACTTATACAGATTCCTCCCTTGGATCCCTCCTACCGCAGCGAGGGAGCTCGCTCGCTCTTCTCTCTCCCCTTTCTCACCTTTCCCCCTCTCTCCGCCCCCACCCAATAAATCACTTTCCTACAAAACTCTTTCGATCCTTGGTATTTCTTCAAATGGTAAGCTCACTGTGCCTCAGGGGCCCCTTGCCCATTCCTGGGATAAGAGAGGTCAAGGACCTGGGCACATCGGGAAACTGGGAGCATCTTCAGGATGCCCTGCTCCCTCCTACAGCCTGCAAAAGCTAAGATTAATTAATTCAACAAATATTTACTGAGTACCAAAGATGTATCACATATGTGCTAGTGCTAGTTTATAATACCTTTAACTTATTATTTAATCAAGAGGACTTCTGTATAACTAGCAAAATGTAAACTACCAAATACATTTGTTGGATTCCATTCTGTCAAGTATTTCTCTGCTCAACATTGTTTTTAGTTTATTTCTGCTTCTAATTGTAAGATATTTTAAAACTGTACAGTGAAGCAAAAACTTCCATCTGAGCATGGCATTCAGAAGGGCAGTGGCAGAGATGTTGTTGCCTGCTGGTGAAATAAATGCAGTAGAAGGAGAAAAACATGTGTTCATTCCATTCCTCAAAATAAGCAGGCTGGATCGTGTGGGAGACGGAGTGCTTCTCACTGTTTAACTGAAAAGATTACTCTCTATTCTTCAGCTGGAGGAAATTTATCTCTTTCTGTGCTTCTAGCTCCCATAATGTGAAAATGTCTCACATTCTTTCAACATTGCCATGTACAAACACACACTTAGCACTAGCCAGTGTGTTTGGGACACTGAAACCCAGTTCACTCAGGTCAATCTCCTGGTCAGATGAATGAAATTTGCTGCTTTTAATTATCTCCTAATATGGCAGGAAAGGTCCCCCAGGCTACATACAAGTAGTTAGAAATGCTTTATTATTTAAATGGTGCTCTATTTTGTCTTTATCTCATGGTATGCACAAGCCACACCCTAAAGTAAAAGAGTTACCACAGATCTGTTGATAATGAGACCAGTCATTCTTTGGTCAACAGACATTTGCTGAGCAACTTGTTAGGCTCCACATTGGGAGCTGGGGTAACAAAGATGGATTCCTTCTACTCACAGCCTTTGAATTATTCATAGACTAGTAAGATGTTTCACGTATGTTGAAGTTCTTGGTGAAACCCCAATTTATTTCTCTTTACCACCTGTCTCTTTGGAGTCCTTACCTTCAAATATGCAGACAAAAATGAGAAGACAAGATGGCTTTTGTGAAAAGCATGGCATCTGCTGTAGGCAGTTGTTGATCTCTTCCATGACACCCTCATTTCAGTAACTTATCTCAGCTCCCCTCTGACTTCCATTTCTCGCACAGTTCCTGGCTCCATTTTCTGGGTTGGAGGGGTGCCCTGCCATCATGGATGAGACATTCTCTGCTCCTGCCTTGTCCTCACAGAAGCTTTCACTGGGAGAAGTGATTGAGAAGATTTGTATTTCTGTGTAAATATAAACATCAGTAATTATGCATCAAACCCCAATATAACCAGTGCATTTGAGTACTTGTAATTTCAGTATGACCAATATCTTATTAATTAGTAAAAGGCATGTTTAATGTAATATTCCCAGCTATGCCCTATTCTCCTTCTAGCTAAGTGTTTATGTATATGGATTTGTTTTTATGGTTAAAAATCTTATAATTACATTATCTTCATGCTCTCAAAATACCATTTGGCTTAAAGAACTGCTGTTTTCTCTGGTAACTTCCACATGGCATCTGCTCAAACTACCCTTTAAACTACTGCATTAATTTGCTGAATGGTTATCTCTTTGCACTTGCCTGTGGAAACCTATCTTTTACTAATTCCCCTTCCCCCAAATCAACAAAACCTCAGCCTGTTCCATCTGGCAATATCATTATTTCCCACTTGGCAATATGGTATAGTGGTTGTGAGCCTGGGCTTTAGAGTTCGTTAGGCACCGGTCTGATTCCCAGTTTTAGAACTTGCTAGACATGTGATCTTGAGCAATTTATATCAACACTGTGCCAAGTTTCTTTATCTGTAAAATGGGTAAGCTGATATTAACATTTTATAGGGTTGTAAAGTGAGTAGCACAGTGTCTTGTCCAGAGTAAATGCTTAATAAAGTCTTCTTTCTTTCCTTGTTACTGTTACAATTTCCTTGGCTGCAGTGAGAAACACACAGCCATTGAAATCAGGTGGACTTGTTCAAACCATGTCACTAGAGAAGCCAGTTGCCTTTCTTAGTTTCCTGGTTTGCTAAACGAAAAATAATAACATATTACAGTGCTGACATACGATTACGAAGACTAATTAAAATACATGAAAAAAAACTCTGTCATGGTGGTTCAGGCACAGTGGGTCATGCCTGTAATCCCAGCACTTTGGGAGGCTGAGGCAGGTGGATCATTTGAGGTAAGAAGTTCGAGACCAGCCTGGCCAACCTGGTGAAACCCTGTGTCTGCTAAAAATACAAAAATTAGATGGGTGTAGTGGCGGGTGCCTGGAATCCCAGCTACTTGGGAGGCTGAGGCAGGAGAATTGCTTGCACTCGGGAGGCAAAGTTTACAGTGAACCAAGATTGCACCTCTGCACTCTAGCCTGGATGACAGAGCAAGACTCCATCTCAAAACAACAAACAAAAGTCTGTCATGGTGCATCAAATGGGCTTTATTGTGACTCAGTTGTCACACCTAAAGCATTCCTCTCATTCACAGTCTTTTGCCCAATCTGTAAGTATACTGAGTATAATAGAAGATTTTAGTATGCATAACAAATATTGTCTGGACAGGGCTTCTATAGGATTTACTAATCCTGCAAACCCTTTCATAATTATTTACCCTTAGAAACATGTACAAATGTTTTTTACAAAAAATAGATTTTAAGTACCCTTGAGTTTGTCCCTAGTTTACGCCATATCTTTTGCCTACCTTGAAGCACGGCTAGGATTATGTCAGTGTATGCCTGTGTTCGTTAATTCACTCAACAGTATTTCTTGTGTATTGACTCTGTGTCGGGCAGTACCCAAGGTGTTTGGGATACTCAATAAACATACCAAAGGTGTCTTTCCTTATGGAGCTTATACTCCAGTGAGGGTAGACAGACAATAAAAAAGATAAAGTAAATTATACAGAATGTAACTAGTTATGTTGATAGATTTTGTGGAAAAAAAGGAAAAAGGAAGGCTAAGGGGATCGAGTCCGGAGTGAAATTGCAATTTTAAATTGGATGGTTAGGAGTGAGCTTATTCAGAAAGTGACATTTAGACAAACATTTTTAGATAAAAGCTACTTTACTCAGAAGCAATTTGAAGAATATACTACATTTTTGTTTAACTCAATGAAACCTTAACACTTCCAGCTAGTGGCTTCAGTGAAAAGAACATAAAGGTCTTTTCACAAACCCGGCTCTGCTTTTGCTTTATTTGGTTGACTGTATTACCCTTGCCTACCTATGATCTCTTTGTCTCCAGCCCTGGTTCTCTGTAGTTGGCATTCCCATACTGACACAAAATGATATTCCAAAAATATAGCCTGAATTATGTAACATTCTTCCTCAAAGATCCAGTGGCTCTCCATTGCTTTCTGAGTCAAGTCCATACACCTTGGCATGACCAGTGTGGCCCTGGGATGCTCCTCCATCCCCTATTATGCCACATCACTCTTTGGAAGCCATACTTCACCCATTTTGGGTTCCCTGCTCCCTACACCTCTTTGCTTTTGCCATCGTTCCTACCCACCCTTTCCCACATTTTATGTTTATTAGAAATTGTACTCATCTTTCAAGGCATTGCCCTAATGCTCCTTCCTTTTTGGATCCTTCCAATTAAAGTTAATTTTTTCATGCACCTCTCCATTCCCTATGTCCTGTATGATATGGTGTAGATGACCGCATTCTCTTGAAGTTGTCAATTCTTTCTCTATAGAAGATGGCTCTTATTTATTATAGAGGCTTTTCAGAGAAGATTCTGAGCAAGCAGCCTACTATACTCTGAGAAGATTTCATGATAAATAAACACCATCTTCTATAGAGACAACTTTGCTTACTTGAATTAATCAAACTGGGCAAGTCACCTATCATCTTTGAATCTCAGCTTCCTCATCTTCAAATGGATTAATGATATCTTTTTATGAGTAATAGGTACGGATTAAATGTGATTAAACGAGATAATGTCTCATTATTTAAATGCTTCTTGGGGTGGTTCGCATGTAGTATCTCATCAGTAAACGTTCTATGAATATGACTCCTTTTTTAGATTGTCTTTTAATGGGGTTCCATCATCCCTTTCATTACTACTTTTTATTGCATAATGCCTTCATAATTGTCACCATTCTTTCTTTCTTGATTTCTGGAGGAAAGCTCTCTTTCAGCTTTCTGCTTTTAAATGACTTACATTTAGAAGTCATTTAGACTTCTTTGTGTTTCTTTTTAATTAATAGATTTATTTTTTAGAGCAGTTTTAGGTTCACAGTAAAGTTGGGCAGAAAGTGCAGAGTTCCTACATACCTGATTCCTCCTCCCATTTACAGATTCCCCCACAATCAGCATCCTATATCAATATGGTACTTTTGTTACAATTGATGAACCAACATTGACACATCATACTAAACCAAAATCCATAGTTTACATTAGAGTTGCACATTTATGTGTTGTGAATTCTTTGCACATTCTAAGGGTGTCATACATTTTATGGGTTTTGGCAAATGTATGATTACATGTATCCACCACTATAGTATCAGGTAGAATGGGTTCACTGCCCTGAACATCCTGTGTGCTTCATGTATTCATCCCTCCTTCCCCCTGGTCCTCGGGTAACCACTGATCTTTTTACTGTCTCCATAGTTTTGCCTTTCATAGAATGTCATATACTGACATTGAAATCATAGCATATGCAGCCTTTTCAGAGTGGCTTATTTCACTAAACAATATGCATTTAAGATTCCTGCTTGTCTTTATGTAGCTCAGTAGCTCATTTCTTTATCACACTGAATAAAATTTCATTGTGTAATATAGTTAAAAAAAATTGAATTGACCCAGTTTTAAGCTTTAGCTAGAGGCAGTCAGTTGCCATTCTTGAGTGACCCATTAAGTGCACACTCCCAACTGTCTCCCTTTTTAGGCTCTCATGCATTGAGCCAGTATGTTCCCACCTCAAGCCCCTCCCAGGCCCGGCTATAGACAACCAGTCACCGTCTCTACGCCCAAGAGCTCATGGAAATTATTTGAACTACTCAATCCTAAACTTGCTTACTGTGACTTGCCCATTCTTTCCTGCTGAAACCATGGCCAAGGTGCTTGCTCACAGTTCTCCTCTCTCCTTCCGTCTTGTGAGTGGCCCTGGTGCTTCCCCTGAGTGGCCCTGCATAGCAAGCTATATTCTCCCCAGGGAACTGTGAGTGTAACTGACTGTAAAACTCTTTCCAATTCCTCCCTCTTGATCTGTGTCTGCCCTCACCATACCTCACCCAAGGTAGTATGTGTAAATAGCATCATATGGGTGCACCAGAGTTTATTTATACATTTACTTGTTGAAAGACATCTTGGTTACTTCCAAGTTTCAGCTATTATGAATAAAGCTGCTATGAACATTCACATGCAGGTTTTGGTGTAGTCATAAGTTTTCAGATCTGTTGGATAAATACCAAGGAGTATGACTGCTGGATCTTATAGTGAGAATATGTTTGCTTTTGTAAGAAACTGCCAAACTATTTTCTAAAATGTCTGTACCATTTTTCATTTCCACTACCAATGAAAGAGAGTTCTTGTTTTCCACCTCTTCGCCAGCATTTGGTTTTGTCAGTGTTCTGGATGTTAGCCATTCTAGTAGGTGTATAGTGATACTTCCTTGTTTTAATTTGAAATTCCCTAATAATGTACAATGTTGAGTATCTTTTCAATGCTTGCCATCTGTATATAATCTTTGGTGAACTGTCTGTCCAGATAGTTTCTCAATATTTTAATTGGATTGTTCATTTCCTTGTTGAGTTTTAAGAGTTATTTCTCTATTTGGATAATAGTCAGATATGTCTTTTACATGTATGTTCTTTTTAGAATGCTATCTGGTTCCCTGAGACTTCATAGATTTACTCTTATAATAGATGGTTCTCTGTAGCCATTTAGTTTCCATAAAGGAAAATGTTTTATGAGTATTTATTAAAGGAATAGGTTGAGGGATACTGACTATTAAAAATTCTATTGCTACTTACCAGATGTTAATCAATCATTGAGTCAATCAAATACTTATCAGACACTTAATATTTTTCTAGACACTGTTGGAGATAACACTGGTAAAAGGAGGTAAAAGGCCTGTTATTGTTTTCGATAGATGTATAGTCTATTTTGACGTAATGTAAATAAAATTTAGGGCTGGCTTTGTCATACTAATTATAGGTGCAATTGAAATCCAGAGAGCAGGAGTTCATGTGGACTGGAATTATTGAGCAAAGATTCATGTATAACATGAGGGCTGACCTAGGCTTGGAAGGTCAGGTAACCCATGTACGAATGGAAAGGAAAGGATACATGTAATGTGCCAGAGCACCTTGTAGGTGTTTATAATGTGTGTGCCTCGAGCATTGTAAACACTTAATATTTTTATTACATGGGTAGCTCCTCAAGAAGGAAAAGCAGATAGCTCCTTTCTGACTGATTTATTTGAAAGGGCCAGTAGGACTCCAGTTCCTGTATAAAGATAGCACTGCTACCATCTATCTACTCCTACAATACACAGTAGGTATTTGTCTAGTCCATTTGTGTTGCTATAAATGGATACCTGAGGCTGGGTAATTGATAAAGAGAAGAGGTTTATTTGGCTTAAGGTTTTGCAGGCTGTACAAGAAGCACAGCATCAACATCTGCTTCTGGTGAAGGTCTCAGGTTGCTTCCACTCATGGTGGATGGTGAAAGGGAGTCAGCACATGCAAAGATCATACAGTGAGAGAGGAAAACAAGAACGTGGGCAAGGGGGTGCCAGACTATTTTTAACAACCAGTTCTTGTGAGAACTAATATGGTGAGAACTCATTACCACTAGGACGCGCCAAGCCATTCTTGAGGGGTCCACCCTCATGTCCTAAACACCTCCCATTAGGTCCCATCTCTGATATTGAGGATCAAATTTTAGCTTGAGGTTTGGGGAGATACATATCCAACCATAGCATTCCACCCTTTTCCCATCAAACTTCATGTTCTTTTTACATTGCAAAATATAGTCATTTCATCCTAATAATCTCCAAAAGTCTTAACTTGTTCTAGTATCAACTCAAAAGTCCAATGTTCCCAATCTTATCTGAGAGTCAAGAGAAATTCCTTGCAGCTGGGAGCCTATAAAATCAAAAACAACTTATTTACTTCCAAGATACAATAGTGGTACAAGCTTGCAGTAAACATTCCCATTCCAAAAGGGAAAAATTGGCCAAGAGAAAGGGGTAACAGCTTCCATGCAAGTTTGAAATACAGCAGGGGGAATATTAAATCTTAAAGCCCCAAAATACTCTTTGACTCCATGTGTCATATCCTGAGTACGTTGGTATGAAGAGTGTGGCCCCAGTGGCTCTAGCAGCCCTGTCTCCATGGTTTTGCTGAGTGTAGCCTACATGGCTGCTATTATAGGTTGGAGTTCAGTGTCTGTGGCTTTTCTAGGTTGAAGTTGCACATTGCTGGTGGCTTGATAATTCTGGGGTCTGGAGGGTTGTGGCTCTATTTTCACAGCTCCACTAGGTAGTACTCTGGTGGGGACTCTGTCCAGGGGGCTCCAACTCCACATTTCCCACTGCCCGAGTTGAGGCTTTCTGCAGTGGCTCCACCCCTGTGGCAGGCTTCTGTTGGGTGCCCAGGCTTCATGATACATTCTCTGAAATCTAGGAGCAAACTGCCAAGCCTCCACCATTCTTGCATTCTGTGCACCTACACACTTAACACTACGTGGAAGCCACCAAGGCTTATGCCTTACACCCTCAGAGCAGTGGCCAGATTAATATTTGTGGCCCTTTGACCCACAGCTGCGACTGAGGGAGGGATGCACAGAGCAGCTGCTTGAGCTGGAGCAGAACAGCTGTACCCTAGGAAATCATTCTGTTTTCCTAGGTTGCTGGGCCTGTGATGGGAGGAGTAGCCTTGAAAATGTCTGAAACACCTTTGGGGCCTTTTCCCCATTGTCTTGATTATTAGCACCTGGCTCCCTTTTAATGATACAAATCCCTCTGGTGAGTGGTTGCTCTGTAGTGACCTTGAATTCTTCTGAAAATGCTCCTTCCTTCTCTACCACATGGCCAGGCTACATATTTTCCAGATTTTTATGCTCTGCTTCCTTTTTAATGGTAAGTTCCACTTTAGGTCATTCATTTGCTGCTGTATATGACCATAAGCTGTTAAAAGCAACCATGTTCCTTCTTGAAGCTTTGCTGCTGAGAGAGTTCTTCCCTTTAGATACCCTAGGTCATCATTCTTAAGTTTGGCCCTAGGGCATGGTCACAATGCAGCTAAGTTCTTTGCTATAGCAACAAGGGTGATCTTTGCTTCAGTTCCGAGTAAGTTCCTCATTTCCATCAGAGACTTTATCCATTTGGACTTTGCTGTCTATATTTCTATCAGCATTTTGGTCACAACCATGCAACCAATCTCTAAGAATTTCCAGACTTTTCTTTGTTTATTTTTCTTCTTGTGTGTCCTCCAAACTCTTCCAACCTCTGCCCATTATCCAGTTCTGAAGCTGCTTCCACATGTTCAGGTATCTTTATAGCAGTGCCCCACTCCTTGGTACTAATTTTCTGTCAGTCTGTTTGTGTTGCTATAAAGGAATACCTGAGGATGGTAAATTATAAAGAAAAGGAGTTTATTTGGTGTTATGGTTTGGCTCTGTGTATTTACCCAAATCTCATCTCAATTTGTAATCCCCATGAGTCAAGGGAGGGACCTGTAATCCCCATGTGTTGAGGGAGAGCAGGAATTGGATCATGGGGACTGTTTCCCCATGCTGTTCTCTTAATAGTGAGTGAGTTTCCATGAGATATAATAGCTTTATAAGTGTTTGGACGTTCCTCCTTTGTTCTTCTCTCTCTTGTTGCCTTGTGAAGAAGATGACTGCTTCCCCTTTGCCTTCTGTCATGATTATAAATTTCCTGAGGCCTCTCCAGCCATGCAGAACTGTGAGTCAATTAAAGCACCTTTGTTTATAAATTACCTAGTATCCGGGACGTTCTTTATAGCAGTGTGAGAAAGGACTAACACATTTGGCTCATGGTTTAGTAGGATGTACAAGCAGCATGGCACTGGCATTTGCTTCTGGTGAGGGACTTAGGATGCTTCCATTCATGGTGGAAGGGCAAGGGGAGCTGGCATGTGCAGAGAACACATGGTGAGAAAGAAAGCAAGAAAGAGATGGGAGGTACCAGGTTCTTTTTGACAACCAGCTCTCTCAGGAACTGACAGAGCAAGAACTCATTCATTACCAGGAGGACAGCACCAGCCATTCATGAGGGATCCAGCTCTAGGACTCAAACACGTCCCATGAGGCTCTACCTTCAATGCTAGGGATCAAATTTCAACATAAAATTTGGGGGCACATATATCCAACTTATAGCAATATTTATCCATGTAGCTCTAGACAACATTTAATCATTAAGAGACACTAGTTAAAAGGAAAATGCATCTATGGGATGAAGAGGTGGTTATAACTGAAATGGGCATCCATTCATTTATGTAATATTTACTTATTCAACAACAATATATTGGTTTCCAACTCCATGGTAAGCACTATGCTGGACCCTGTCTGTAAAAGATAAAGAGGCTATAACAGCTGCCTAAAGTACCTTAGGGCTAGTGACCCTGCATGCGCCAATGACCATGATGCAGTGTGAGTCATGCCATTTCACAGGTTAGAAGAAAGTGATGGTGGACTGTGGAGGCCCTGAGAATAATGGTGAAGCTTAAGGGGTCTAGGAGTTGGCCATGTGGACAAAAGAGAGAAGAGAGAAGAGAGTTTTGTCATTTTTTATTTCACCTTTCTCCTTTTCTCTACTTCCTGAAAAATTCTTCACAAAGATTTAGCAGGGACTGAGCAGAGTGGTGCCTTCCAGGTGCAGTGAGGGAAGTCTCCATGGTCCCTCCAACAGGGGAAGGAAGGTGCCTATGCAGGTGAGTCAGGGCCCAGCATGGAGTACTGGAGCCTAAGTAAGGCAAGAAGGGCTGCCCTCCAGGAAAGTGTCCAGACGAGGAGACAGTGGGACAGCCGTAGAGATGGACCAATGAAGGAAATATATTAGGAATAATGTGGATCAGATTTTTCACTGCTGGAGAAGGTACTTCCACACGTGGAAATGAGAAAAAAGAGTCAACTCTTTAGTGTTGTGTTAGAATTGTAGTTATCAGTTTGAACTCATGATTTTCAATACGTAGTTTGGGGTGTGTGTGTGTGTGTGTGTGTGTGTGTGTGTGTGTGTGTATGTGTGTGTGTGTGTGTATGTGTATTTTCTAGCTCTGTATTCTGAGAGTGCCTGAAATCAGTGACAAACTCCTAGCAATGAGGACAGCTAACATCCACATCTTTGGTTGGTTCAGCAGAGGGGCCAGGGCAATTACAAAGTAAGTCTGCACAATCGTATTCTGGAAAGCAATGAAGGGCACAAAAGACGATAAGAACATGGCAAAAGGACACACAATCCTGCAGGAAGGGGGTTCCCCATGAACATAAGAAAGATAACAATGGTAACAGATTAGAACCTTTTGAATAAAATAAAAATCAATGTACTCATATTAACATAAATAATTGAATAAATAAATTGAAAATTTGATGAAGACTGGGATGGCTACCAGGCTGAAAGTATTACCCACAAAATATGTGTTAATTGGGCTGGGTGCGGTGGCTCAAGCCTGTAATCCCAGCACTTTGGGAGGCCGAGGTGGGTGGATCACGAGGTCAAGAGATTGAGACCATCCTGGTCAACATGGTGAAACCCCGTCTCTACTAAAAATACAAAAAATTAGCTGGGCACGGTGGCGCGTGCCTGTAATCCCAGCTACTCAGGAGGCTGAGGCAGGAGAATTGCCTGATCCCAGGAGGCGGAGGTTGTGGTGAGCCGAGGTCGCGCTATTGCACTCCAGCCTGTATAACAAGAGCGAAACTCCGTCTCAAAAAATAAATAAATAAATAAATAAAATAAAAATAAATTAAAAAAATAACGTGTTAATTACAAAGGGGGGAAAAAAGTAACTACCCAGTGAAGAAACCTGGCAGAAACCACCTTAGTTAAGTCATCAATGTTAATATTAGAAATGGAAAAAATGCAAATCCTGTGCTGCCCAGTAGGAGGCAATAAGGCACACATAGCATCACTTCTGCATTATTTTTGCCAAAAGTATAAAAAGCTGACTCTAATCATAGGGAAATATCAAACAAAGATAAAATCAGGTACATTCTCCAAAAACTGTCCTATAATTTTCAAAAATGTCAAGGTCGTGAAAGTCAAGAGAACACGGAGAAACTATTCTACCTTGAATGACAGTATAACAACTAAAAGCATTGTGTGATTTTGGACTGGAATATTTTTGAGAAAATGAGGAAACCTGAATGCGATCTGTGGATTAGATGGTAGTAATGTATAAGTGTGAACTTCCTAATTTTGAGAGAAATATATTTTTTATAAGATGGGATAGTTGTCATTGTTTATGATACATATACACTAAAGCATTTAGGGGCTCAGGACGTCATGCTAGCAACCTACTCATAAATAGTTTAGGGAAAACAGTTCTTGCTACTATAGGCACAACTTTTCTACAAGTTTAAGATTACTTTAAAAAAAAAAAGGTGGGGAGAGAGAATCTCCTATGGGCAGGCCTGAATATGTTATGAGTTAGTGGGAGTTCCTTTTTAGCCCATTGAGAATATAGTTCTAGAAAATACAGCAACAGGAGGTGGCTACTGTGGCTCTATGTGTACAGCTGAGGTTGGGATTGTAGTCATGGGGACCAGGGCTGGCTTTGCAAATTAACAGTGAAATGTCTTTAGTTACATCACCTACTTTTTCTACATGGCTAGTTCCTCCTCTATAAAATGAACGGTGGACATAGCCTCCTTCCAGCTCTAAAATTTGACACTGTGATTTCATCTTTTAATATATTAGAGCTTACCATCAGCTCTGTGGTGGTTTTTGTTGCAAAGTTCTCCATCTGCCCCAGGGAGATCCCGAGCTCATATCGTGTCGCCTAGTTTGTCAGCTTGGCCACCTCTGCCTGCATGAATCTTCGTCTGGCAGGCAGGATTAGTGTCTAACGTGCAGAACTCCGGGAAGGAAGCACACCCTGGCCTAGCAGCACAGGGATGGCCTTTGAGATAACACTATCTTCTGTCTTGTATAACTCAGAAGTATAACTTGAAGCTCAGTTGGGAACATTGCCTCAGAGAATGTTCCCTTGGAGGGCCTCCAAATGTTAATTCCAGAGACGATGGTGCAACAAGAAGGTGACCAGCCAGATGGGAAGCCTGGTTCATGATGGTGTTCTCATCTCTCCACACCCAGGCCCATCTGAGTTTCGGAACACATCAGGAAACTTTAACAATCTCCACACAGGCACATGCCAACCACACATAAGAAATAGTCATTTTTAGTTGACATTTGGCCAATGGAAATTAATATGCTGTCGTGTTCTGAGAATTCTCTTTCCTTAATAATAACCAGACTTAAGAGAATGAGAACAAGATGCAAGACTACTGAAAAATGAACGACAATGATCTGTATATCATATTTTTTTATCTAGTGTGAATAGCCAAATTCCAAAGGCAGTTGGTTTTATATATAATGTAATTGGGAAGGTTTCCATCAGGTATGTGTTATTAAGAATCAGAGATGTGTCAGGAGGACTTGATTGTTTCTGGAAGAACACCAGCAGGATTTAGAAGTTTCTTTGTTCAGTTACCAAAGTGCCTGGCACATAATTGATGCTCAATACATATTTGGATGGAGGCATAAAAATATATTCACCTGCGACAATGATGATGCATGTTGTTACAGGCAGTGGATTCAGGCAGCTAACTATATTTTAAAATATTGTGCAATTTAGGTTCTCTTAAAATTCCAAACCAGATGGAGATTAAATAAGAAATGGTTAAAATTAATGCTTAATGATTCCTGAATAAAATAGCTCACTCAGTCTGAGAAGTCTTTTCCTGTTTGCTGTAATTCTGTTTCTATTATTTTTTCAGTTCCAGGTAAGACTGTGTCGGGGGAGACTTTCTCCTACAGACCCCACCTCTTTAATCTGGCAGGTAAGGGCACCATAAACTGGAATGATGCTTCCTAGGTGTGCACTGAGATTTCTCTAGTGCAGGCTCAACCCTGCCACAGGGATGATGGCTTGCTTATAAAGCTTGGGTAATGAATAGCCCAAGATTTATTTTCCCATTTATTTAGGACAATTTTCTCTCTGTCACTGTGCCAACACTGTCAGCACAACTCAATGTTGCATAAAAAAGCACAAGCTTTGGAGAAAAAGCAAAAGGTCTGGGCTTAAATGTCTGCTCTGCCGCTCATCAAGTGCCTGACCTTGGGCTGGTTATTGGACATACTTGAGCCTCGTTTTCCTCACAGGGTTGTGGTTGCAGTTAAACAACACCACATTTATATAGTGTCTGACGCCTAGTAGGCCTGCATTTAATTCTGTCTTAGTTAATTTCCTGTGGGCCCATTTTGCTTTCTATCACCTCAGCCTTCTTGTTTTCTGTGAGCCTTTCCTAGTTCCCTCTTCTCTCTGGACTCTAATCTAAGGCAAATCAACACACAGTAGCTGATCCTGCAGTCGGAACACTCCTGTAATGCTGTTACTTGGTCAGCATCTCCTTGCCCATCACATAGGGAAGGTGAGCCTTTGGGATTCCTAGAGCTGCCCTGGTTGCCTTCTTCCAGAACACAATTGTGATACTGTATTCCATGATGTCATCAGTAGATGTGTGTATAATTTTTAAGTTTATATTCCTGAATTATGTTCAGATTTGTCCTCAGTGTGTTCAGTCCCATCTTAAGATTTTTCCTTTAGGGATAGGCTCAGATTACCTTGCCTCAATTTCTGTGGGGATTGAAGGTGGAGACACCAGCAGTTACTGCCCTGGCATTCAGTACTGTGGTTACTAAATGGTGGTTAGCCACTCCAAAATCCTGAGTGGCTGTCACCTGTCATTAGGATCTTTGGGTATTATGGTGTGTTTTTGGCACAGTAGACAGAGTGATTCTCTAAAACATGCCAGATAATAAATGACACTCTCCTGCTCAGTGCCCTGTAGTGGCTTCCCATCTCACTAGAATACAGCATCAGGCCCTGTCATCCCAGGGCCTGCATGACCCTATGTGATGTGACCCTGCCTGCTCTCCAGTCTCCCCTCATTCTCTATCTTATCGGCTCTGTTCCATAGCCACAGGCCTCTTTGCTGTTTCCCATTTCAAAGATCTCAAGATCCCACCTCAGGATTTTTGTAGCTGTTGTTCCTCTTGCCAGAATATTCATCTCCCTATGTAGCTACACTATTAGGTTCTCCTCAAATGTCACCTCCTCATGGAGGTCTTCCTGGACTACAGTGTACTAAATTAGCACCAACAATCAGTCATCACTCTCTAGCCCTTAATCAGATTTATTTTTCTACACACACAAACACACATTTGTTATTTATTTAAAGCCTATTTCTTCTAGAATGTAGGACTTTGTTTCCTTCACTGGCAGTATTTCCACTTAACAGAATACAGTAGTGCCCCCTTATTCAAGGTTTTGCTTTCTGTGGTTTCAGTTGCCCATGGTCAACTGAGGTCCAAAAGTATTAAGTGGAAAATTCCAGAAATAAAGAATTTGTAAGTTTTAAATTGTGTGCCTTTCTGAGTATTGTTAGCAAATTTCATACCATTCCATTTTGCCTCCCCTGGAGTGTATCCGTTTGCCCAGCACATCCACGCTGTATATACTGCCAGCCTACCAGTCACTCAGTGGCCATCTAGGCTATCAGATTGACTGTAGCAGCAACATAGGCTCATGGTCAAGGAACCATGATTTCACTTAATAATGGCCCCAGAGTGCAAGAGTACTGTGCCTAATTTACACATTAAACTTTCTCATAGGTATGTATGTATAGGAAAAAAACCTCATGCTGTGTAGGTAGGGTTTGGTACTATCTGCCATTTCAGCAGCCACTGGAGGTCTTGGAATGTATCCCCTGCTGATAAGGGGGAACCACTGTAGTGTGTGGTCCAGCAAAGGCACTCAGTGACTGAATGAAGTAATACATTAATATAAGAACAGCCCTGAGGTTATTATGTAGTTTGGTAAGAAGAAGACTGTGAAACCACTTTTGCTCGAAGACATTGTGATGCTGTATCTCCATTATCTGAACAAGAACAGCAATGTAATAGCTTCCATTTATTGAACATTGTGATGCTTTGCTCAGTAGGAATCTATAAGTTGTTTGTGATCATTCATAAGCTTATAATTTTATCACTTTGGTCTGTGGGGAAAATGTGCAATAGTTTATTATAAGGTTATTACAAAGGAAATGTGCAGTTTTTTAACTACTATACTAAATGCACCATGAAACTTATACTCCACTGATGTACACAGAATGTGGTATCACGAGAGGCCCTCTTACAATTTTAGTCCTTTCTCTGACACATTCCTCCACACTCTACATTCCCCTTACCATCTCCTGGCAAACAAATACAGACAACACCTCCTTGAGCATACGGTTGGGATTTCAAAACATGAGTGCTAGTTCCAAACAGGTCTGGTTTAAATCTATGTGGCCTTGAATGAGTTATTTAAAGTTTCTGTGTCTCAGTTACTTCATCCCTTAACTGGGAATGATGCTAGCACCTATATGCTAGATATGCACTATCTGAGTAAATGAAATGAGACATCACATGATTAGCATTGGCTGGGCGTGGTGGCTCACTCCTGTAATCCTAGCACTTTGGGAGGCTGAGGAGATGGATCACTTGAAGTCAGGAGTTCGACACAAACCTGGACAACATGGTGAAACCCTGTCTCTACTAAAAATACAAAAATTAGCAGGGCATGGTGGTGCATGCCTGTAATCCCAGCTACTTGGGAGGCTGAGACCCAAGAATTGCTTGAACCCAGGAGTCAGAGGTTGCAGTGAGCTGAGATGGCACTGCTGCACACTCCAGCCTGGCAGCAGAGTGAGACTATCTAAAAAAAAAAGACATAATGTGATTAGCATGAAGCTGTCACAGAACAATTATTAACACAAGAAGAGTCCTAAGTATCTGGGACTTAGGAAAGGCAGTTCTTGTCTCTCCAAAATGCTTTTTTCTAACACCTGACAAATAATTTTCTTTAGAATATGTATTTAAAATTAGTTTGTGGAAATTTGAACAAATTTGCCAATATGCAAATTTGAAATGGTGTCATCTTTCTCCTGTATACCTTTTTAATATGAGGTGTAATTGTCCTCTCAGCTTTCACTGTGGTCCGCTACCCTACTCAGAAGATATCCTGTGGGTGGAGTGGGTAAGTCTTCAGAATTTGTTTTGTTAAACTATTTTCCTTTTTAAAAAATTATTTATCTGCTTTTCGTTTTAGGACAAGTCGCAGCAACTGCTTTACAGAAATTTGTATTTTCTTTCTCCTAAATGTTGCAAAAGAAGTGATTTCAGGAATAGGCCTAGGGTATGTTTGGTTTAATGTGTGTGAGCTCAGATGGGAATAGAGCTCCACCGGGAGTGGATGGATTCAGGAGTCATGGTGAGGGAGATGTTAAAAGCTCCTGTCTCTCCCTTACACCACAGCCACTGTATAACTTGGCTGTCTCTCCCACTTTATTTTTTTTCATTTTTCTTTTTAGGAAAAGCAGGCATTACTGACCTCACTGGGGTACTAGGGCGATTTTATTAGTATTTTATTGAGCATCAGCTTTTATCTGGAGGTAGAAATATATATTATTTTAAATGTGTGTGCACACACGCACACACACACACACACGTGCACATCTGAGGCTGAGGAGCATCTACAGAGACCTCCAGAAAGAAGGGAATCTAAGGGCATAACCCTGAAATGATCTTGAGTCAACTTTTAGAAGCAATAATTGTTCAAAAACAACTCTTTGTCTAACTAGGGTAAATCTTATAGCCATATAGGAAATGTCAGTATAGAGCTCTGCTACCGGATCCAAGGTGTATATGTGTGGAGATGGGGGTGCGGGCACTAGGTGGGGGAGAACATGAAGCAGATATTACTCTAACAAATAATTTCCTATTTCTTGCATATCCTCCACTCACAGTAAAATATACTTTTCCAAATGAGACATCAGCCGTTTGTAGTGTCTGAGGCAGAATGCCTGGGTTGTAATTTTTTTTTCCAGCAGGAACCTAAGAAATAAGTCATAAAACATTAATACTGCCTGAAAATAACTTGGGGTAGGGTGATCCCAAGATGAACTCAAGTTGAACACCAGAGGGAAGCTGTACCTCCAGAGGAGAAATTTCATTAAAGAGGACTTGCCCTTTCCACAGAGAGGTCTAGGTCTGACTTCTTGAAGCTGGGAGAGCTTGTGTCACGCTGAGTGGGAATCCTGGCCACTTTGAACATCTGTGGAGCATACTTCTCCTCCAAAACAGAAATAACTGAGCAAGTAAGGCAACCTTCCTCTTCTAAACAAAGGGATTCCGTCACATCATCTGGGCCCATTATAGGGTGTTTTCAAATTTCCATAAGCTCAGTCAAATTTAAGACTTCACTAATTTGGGCATGTGATCAGTTAGGAGGCGCTAGACTGAAATACGGAGTAGTGGTTCAGTGCACAGCGTTAGGAGTCAGACCTGGTGGGAATCCTGGCTTTGCCACTTATTAGCTGTGAACTTGAACAATTTATTTATTTGCTCTCAGACTGCTTTCTCTTCTGTAGAACTGAAACAAAATACCTAATTATAATGTAGTTTGGGGGTTTTTTTGAGACAGAGTTTGGCTCTTATTGCCCAGGCTGGAGTGCAATGGAGCAGTCTCGGCTCACTGCAACCTCCACCTTCTGGATTCAAGTGATTCTCCTGTCTCAGCCTCCTGAGTAGCTGGGATCACAGGCATGCATCACCATGCCAGCTAATTTTATATTTTTAGTAGAGATGGAGTTTCTCCATGTTAGTCAGGCTGGTCTTGAACTCCCAGCCTCAGTTGATCTGACCGCCTTCGTCTCCCAAAGTGCTGGGATTACAGGCATGAGCCACCATGCCTGGCCAATTATAATGTAGTCTTGAGGATTAAATGAGATAAGGAATGCACAACAGTTCATGATTAAAAAGTAGTCCCTTTTTCATATTAATATTTAAATTATTCTAAGCCCTTATCCTGCTGGTTATAAGAAGTCCAATTCTCTGTTGGATCCCCCTACTCCAAGTTTTTGTTTGTTTGTTTGATTTTATTTCAATAGGGGGAACAGGTGGTTTTTGGTTACATGGATAAGTTCTTCAGTGGTGACTTCTGAGACTTTGGTGCACCTGTCACCTAAACAGCATATACACTGTACCCAATATGTAGTCTTTTATCCCTCACTCCCCTCTCCTCCTTCCCCCCAAATCCCCCAAATTTATTATATCATTCATATACCTTTTTGTCCTCATAACTTAGCTCCCACTTATAAGTGAGAATATACACTATTTGTTTTTTTCATTCCTGAGTTACTTAGAATAACTCCATCCAGGTTGCTGTGAATGCCATTATTCCATCCTTTATATGGCTGAGGAGCATTCCACGGTGTATATGTACTGATTTTCTTTATCCACCTGTTGCCTGATGGGCATTTAAGTTGGTTTCATATATTGCAATTGTGAAGTGTGCTGCTATAAACATGCATGTGCAAATATCTTTTTCATATAATGACTTCTTTTCCTTTGAGTAGATAACCACTAGTCTCCAAGCTATTTTGGGGAACATGGGAGAAAGTAGTTTATATTTTTATTTTTTTAAGACACAGTCTTGTCCTGTCACCCAGGCTGGAGTGCTGCAGTAGCACCATCTCAGCTCATTGCAACCTCTGCCTCCTGGGTTCAAGCAATTCTTCTGCTTCAGCCTCCCGAGTAGCTGGGATTCAGGTATGTGCCACCACACCTGGCTAATTTTTGTATTTTTACTGGAGATGAGGTTTCGCCATGTTGACCAGGCTGGTCTCGAACCCCTGACCTCAAGTGATCTGCCTCGGTCTCCCAAAGTGCTGGGATTACATGTGTGAGTCACCATGCCTGGCCCAAAGAAAGTAGTTTTAAATTCTACATGTTAACCGGGTAGTCATTATTCCACTGAATCCTTTCTGTTGCTCCAGATGTCTTGTGTAACCTCTTGCTATTATATAGCTCAGTTCTCTGGACTTGAATTCAAATGAAGCTCCAGCTAGCTCATATAATGTATTGTGTCAATCAGCAAAAAGTGATCCTTCCAAATAGGGCCATGACTTCATGAACACAGTAGGCCTTTGAATGAATTAGAAAACAATGTCCTGTCTTTCCAGGTGGACTCAGCCCGATGTCAGGATCCACAGTTTGTTGAAGAGAGTGCAGGCTGCATTTCAACCCTCATTTCTCTCCTTAGCCAGATGCTTTTGGACAATTAAAAATCCAATACAAGCAATGGCCTTGGGTAGTCCCTAGCTGCATGTAACTGGCTTAAACAAAATAGAAGTTTATTTCTTGCTCATGTAAAAGGAGGTAGGACTTCCAGAATTGATCTGACGATTTCATGCTATCATCAGAGTCTTGGTTTCTGTTTTTCTGCTCCACCATCCTAAGTATGTGCCTTTCAGTGTTAAGGTTATTTAATGGTCCATGACTCATATCCAAGTTCTAAATGGTCGGAAGGAGGAAGGATGGAAGATGAGTGTGCCCTCATGCACATAAGGATTCTTTTACATAAATCTTGTTGACCGAAGCTTCATCATATGACTACACCTGTCTGCAAAGGAAACTCAGATATGTATTAGTTGTATCATTGAGGAGGTGGGGAAAATGGATATTGAGGATGGGCCATTGGCAGTTTCTCACAAGGCTTTTCTCATTTACAGCTCTACGTTACTCTAGGCAGGGAGCCAGAGCACTCCCTTACCATGACCACTCCCTCTTCTGATGCAAAACAGCTCAGAGTCTAATTTAAGAAAATTTAATTGAATGCAGAGGATGATAAGAAAATAACACTGCAGAGAGCTGAAGGCAATATTGCATAATGGTTAAGCACATTCGCTCTAGAGTCAGATTGTCTGGGTGAAACACTGGCTCTGTGATAATTGCTAAGCTATGAGACTATGGGCAGCATTTTTCCCTAACCTTTCTGGGCTTCTGGTTTCCCAGTCTGCAACATAATAGGGTTGTTATGTGTATTAAATGAAATAATACACATGTAGTCCATTTAGTGCAGAGTGGCTATATTCCTACAAATTAGCACTCTAAAGGATTTGAGGGCAGACAGGAGTTGATATATATCTCTGGCCATGGTTTCTTGGTGATACCACTTACGAGAATATCGGTTTATCCTTCCACTCTGCAGTCATATTTATGAAGTGATATTTATGAAATACCAACCAATACCTAAGTGACTGCTGATCTTTACCCTGGGCTTGCTTTATTGTATCCTTGAACAGCCAGAAAACTTGCATTTGAAGAGTCAGCATAATTCTCATTCTTTGTGGCAAGTTGAACACTTCATTTTCTTACCCTTGTCGGCCATTATGCATTAAAACTATTTGCCAGAAATAAATGGCAAAAAGAGAATGCACAGAGGGGTAAAGACTACAGAATGTGCTCGGCTCTTTGAGTGTTTCCAGCATCTGACTCTGATGCCCATTAGCTACAAGTCCGCAGTCTGGTCTGCCCTGCTGGCTTTCCTGTATTTGTCCACGTGGGAGTATACAGACGATATGGGATGGCCATCTAGAAATATTTATCTTCTTTTTTTTTTTCCGAGAAAGATGTTTTAGAGAAAAATAGAATTATAATGCATCAGTGCTGTGACAGGTATTAAACAGGTTAGAGGTGTATATGACATTCAAACTACTTCACTGAGAGAAAGTCCTCAATAAGTGTTCAGAGAAAAAGTAAAAATGATTATATACATGACTGTCCGCAATGACTCCTTTCAGGGTTGCAGGCTCTGATCCCCATTTGAAAGTCTTGCTTTGCTTTCTATGGGCTCCCAAGCAGCGGAGGGCCCACTTCTCATGGGTCTCTCTCCTCATGTACTTCTCATGTCAGACACCCCAAGTGTCTCAGTCCACAGCATATGAGACTGGTGGGGATCCTCCCTTGCCTCCCTCCAAGGCCATGTTTTTTCCTGTCTGAGCATGACTGACAGTGGAAACTCATTTTCTTCAGGGGATGCTCCTAACCCACACAGAGGACAGTCTGAACTCTATGGTCCTGACAATTACTAAAGTTCAGAGTACGTTGCTCAAAAAGTAGGTTTTCTCCACCTTTGTTTGTGGCTCCAAGTTTCAGTCTAAATCTATATTTTAAAAAAATTCTCTACATCAGCAAGTATATGGCATAGTTAAAGCTACCTCTAGTTTATATTATAATACATAAAACAATATCTTGAGCTATAGCATCATCATTAGGACTTTAAGTGACTTCAGTTTTTTTTTTCTCTAGACAACTATGGATAGGAACTAGCTTTACAGTAGTAATAGTACATTTTCCTGATAATAATATCAACTTTCTGCTTCCAAAAAATGTCCCAAAGATCTCCATCTAGAAAAGCTGAAAACCCTCAACCAGTCCTGAATTGCGCTTCAAATGCTTAAAAAGAAAATAAAAATACTTTTTTCACTGAGGAACCAACTTGCTAGTGTTTATTTAGCACATGATAAGCAGGAAAACAGTATCCATTGTCCCTACCTGTTCCTATCCAAAGAGGACTTTCTGTGGCTTTGAGTAAAGGACTTATGTTAAATAAGGTTACAAAACTGTAAAAACAGGATCCTGTAAAAAAAAAAAAAAAAAAAGACCTATGTTCACTGTAAAAGGCAGTATATTACTGTGAGCTTCCTTGCAGCAAGGACAAAGAAAGGAAATTCATCAAGCCTTTTAACTCGGCAATGAACAAGTACACCGATTCTTCAAGAGAGCAGGTTTTTCGTGGCAGTGCATCCTACAGGCTGAGAGACATAATAGGCAGTGTCCTCGAAAAAGCTAAAGGCACGGGGTTTTTGTGCAACTTCACACAATTCTAAGGGCATCTAGGCTTATGAGGAGGTCTGCCTGGACTGATAGGCAGACATCAAAATACCTTGGAGAGCAGAAGAGAGGCATGTACTTTTCAAAATATCCCTTCCTCTCAGACATTTGAAGATGAACTGTCATTTTCAGAAGAGGTGATAAAGACCAGAGGAATATTTGATAGAGTTGAATTTGAGCTTTGGAGAAGTTGTATTTATTGCTGAGTGCATTGGGTATAATGACAGACATGTTAATAACTACTTAAATATTAAATACCAGTTTGTCTTTTCATGTTTTTAGTCATAAAAATATAAAAATTTGACTAATAAAGAAAAAATGACCTAGACTTCCATGATCTTAATATGATTAACTTGATAGTTTAAAAACATTTTTAAAATGTTTGTTTTTGTTTAGTTGAGACCATTTAAGAACTATTTTATTTTATTTTTTTTTGCAGAGACAGGCTCTCATTCTGTCACCCAGGCTGCAGTGCAGTGGTGTGATCATGGCTCACTGCAGCCTCAACTTCTTGTGCTCAAAAAGCCTCCCACCTCAGCATCCTGAAAAACTGGGACTACAGGCATGCAACACCATGCTTGACTCATCTTTCAGAGATGAGGTCTTGCTGTGTTGCCCAGGTTGGTTTTCAACTCCTGACCTCAAGCAATCCTCCCACCTTGGCCTCCCAAATTGCTGGGATTACAGGCATGAACCATATCCCCTAGCTATTGTGGTTTAAAACATCCATAAATTACTTGATAATCTTTCTTTCAAAAGAAGAAAGCTACTTCTCCTCCCTTTGACTAAGAGTTGTACTTAGTGACTTGATCCCAACAAACAGAATGTGGTAGAAGAGAGAATGTGACTTTCTAGCCTGGATCATAGCAAACACTGTGGCTTCCTCCTTGTTCTTGGTTCACTCACCCCGAAGGAAGCCAACTGCCACTTTTTGAGGACACCTAAGAAGCCTGTGTGGGGGCCCATTTGACAAGGAATTGTGCTTCCTGGCAAGAGACAACAAGAAACTGAGCCCCTACTGCCACCAGCCGTATGCATGAGCCTTCTTAGAAGCAGATCCGCGAGCCTCAGTCCAGCTCTCACATGACTGCAGCCCTACCCATAGCCTGACTGGGATCTCAAGGAAGACCTTGAGCCAGAACTACCCAGCTAAGCCATTCCCAAATTCTTAGCAAGGGGAAACAGTGAGAAAATAAATACTTACTGTTTCAAACTGCCAAGTGTTGGGGGTAACTCAGTCACCCAGCACAAGAAGCTAATATAATCAGCATTAATACCCTTCTGTTTATTACTTCCACTCTTGCCCTCTGCTGTAAGATGCTTGTGCTTTATAGGTCCGATGAAAATGTACACAAACTTGTCTCCTATGTTTTTCACTGAATGGTGGAGAGGAAGTACAGTGGATGTAGCGGAGTGGTTGAAAATGCAAGCCATGCCGTTAGCTTACTTGGATTTGAACCCTGTCTCTTCTCTTTCTCTGTGTTTTTGGATATGTCATTTTCTTTGTGCTTAATTTTTCTATTTAAACTGGAGATACCAGTACATGGGGTTATTGTGAGGATTAATGAGTTTATATGTATAAAATGTTTAGAATCGTATCTGGTACGTAGTAAGCACTCTAGAGGAGGGAGTGATTTCTATACTGCATAACTTAAAGAAATTTTTTTTTTCTTGGAGACAGGGTCTCATGTTGTCATCCAGACTGGAGTGTAGTGGCACCATCACAGCTCACTGTAGCCTTCAAATCCTGGGCTCAATCAGTTCCCCCACCTCAGCTTCCCATATAGCTAGGACTACAGGTGTATGCCACCATGCCAGGTTAATTCTATTTGTTTTTTTGTAGAGGCAGGGTCTTGCTATATTGCCCAGGCTGGTCTTGAACTGGCCTGAAGTGATCCTCCTGCCGTGGCTTCCCATCAAAATGTTGGTATTATAGGCATAAGCCATTCCACCTGGCCATATAACTATTGATAATCACTTTTAATGACTACATAATACTATCTCTAGAGAGGCACCATATTTTGCTCATCATTTATCTAATATTAATGAGTTAGGTTATCTTGAAATTTTTTGCTGTTATAAATAATGCCATGATGAACATATTGAGCAAAATACAATTTTATCAGATAGAATTTCAATATGTAAACATTGAAACTAGCTTAAAAATGCTCTTGAAAGTGGTAAGAATATGCTTTAAAAACATGCACACGTATATTCATAGCGGCACTGTTTATAATATCAACTACCTAATGCCCATCAATGATAGACTAGACAAGGAAAATGTGGCACATACAGACTGTGGAATACTATACAGCCATAAAAAACGATGAGCTCATGCCCTTTGTAGGGACATGGATGAATCTGGAAACCATCATTCTCAGCAAACTGACACAAGAACAGAAAATCACACACCACATGTTCTCATTTATAGGTGGGTGTTGAACAATGAGAACACATGGACACAGGGAGGGGAGCATTACACACTGGGGTCTGTTGTGGGGGAGGCCAAGGGAGGGACAGTGAGGGGGTGGGGAGGTTGGGGAGGGATAACATGGGGAGAAATGCCAGATGTAGGTGACGGGGGGATGGAGGCAGCAAACAACATTCCCATGTGTGTACCTATGCAACAATCCTGCATGATCTGCACATGTACCCCAGAACCTAAATTAAAATTTAAAAAAAATTCTGTAGTTCAGATTGTCAACTACCCAATCTACACTTCAGTTAATGAATGACTTTGCAGCTTTAAGTGTATATATATTACGTGTCTCTTCATGAACCTTTGTTGTAGCAGAATTGCATGTAGTCTGAGTCAGAACAGCTCTTAAATCTCAGGCACCGATTTCAGTCGAGTTTTGCTGCATCAAAACTCAGAAGTGTGCCAAGGTCTAGATATTAGGGACCACGGTTTCAGATAGCTGGGGATCAAGATACTTAAGTTTTGATGCTGCTGCTTACTAGCTGTATGACTTTGGGCAAGGTCAAGGCTTATTTTCCTCATCTATAAATGTATAGGATAATAAGTCTTATAAGGAGAGTAATGAGGATATAACAAAATAGCTTTTGTCCAAGTGCAAAGTAAGAATATAAAGACTGTTACTATTTCTAGGATTGTGAGCTTCATGGAGACAAGAAACTGCTTTTTTTTTCTCCTTCTACTGAATGAATTCCATTGCAGCTTTGACTGTGGTTGAATTACCTATGAAAGCCGTGCGTCTTCAGCATCTAGCACATAATGGACACTCAGCAAATGACAACTGAATGAACAAACTAATTAGTCTTACCTTGAGCAGTGACTTGTGTGACCTCTGGCAATTGGTTCACCATCTGAATCCCTCAGCTAGATACCTCCCCACAGTGCTGCTCCTCCATTGACAGGCATTCCGCAGGGTCAGTTGTTTCCCAGCCAGAGTCAGCACTGGCACTGATGTCTGCCATTATCACTGGAGAGGCCCCGGGACTTCACTTGATGCTATCCCACTGGGATGACTGAGAAGAAGTAGGAGAAAATCAAGCAAACGCATGGGCTTGTCTAAGTGTTTCCTCATCTGTTTCTTGGCATCTTCCTTGCTTCCCTGGTTCTCCCCGCCCCAGACCTCCTTGTCTTCTCTCTTCCATTCAGAAAGACACGCATTCCTATTCTAAGTATCGCTTTAGGGCTAAAGTCTAAAGTCTTCTCTTAGCTGAAATTCAGTGTGCACTTGCCACTTGGCAGAGACTGCAAACAGCTCAGTGGGTGTTTTTATAGTCAGCATTAAAAAAATAATTGCCACAACCACTATTAAAGTTTTCCTCATTGTTGTAACTGTTGGCAAAGGCAAATGTCTGGGGAGATTGACTGCCTGAAAAGCTTCATTATGCTGCAAAAATATTTTTGCTGAAATTTCAACAGCTCCTAACTGTCAACTTTACCATGTGGTTTTTTTCTTTTTTAAAAGTCATCCTCCACCCTTCTCTAATAGGTCTTCCAATTCATGAAAACATTCAGGTCAGTTGTTGAATAACTGAATCTTCCCACATAATGAGCAGGTAGAATTATCAGGTAGCAGGCAGTGTTTGCTTGTAATCGTCAATAGGAGTTGCAGTGGGGCTAACTGTCATCTTGAGTGGCCCTGCAGCCACATCTAATTAAAAATGTCAAGAGAGAGTTATTTCTGTCTTTTGTTCCCACTGCTAGGTTATATGTTTTCTCTTCAGAAATCCAAGCTCAAAGTAAGACAGATATTTGGAACATGTGAATTTTCAGGAAACGTCTTCCCCCCCAAAGTACATAAAAGCATTTCGGCCTCATTCCTCTATCCTTCTGACTTCATCGGTTTCCGTCAGTTTATATGTTCAAGGCAGATATACAGTATCTGATAAATGCAAAGAGGGACATGAAGCCTTTTCCTAAGCAGCAAAGTTATACTTTTCCAACTGGACTGGGAGCCGGGCTGAAGGGACAAAACCTGGAGTCTCCCAAGACTCACTAACACTTGCCTAGCAATGGCAGTGGCTGCCACAGCTGCTAGCTTTCCTGCTTTCCTTTCTTTAATGCTTCACTGAACAGTCTTCCAGTTCAAGATAGGTAGATCTGCCAAAACTACAGAGCTTGGATTGCAGATAGAACGTGCTTAGATTTACAGAGCAAAGGAGCAGGAACATAATTTTCCGTCAACAGACTCTGGGTCTTGGCTAATTTAAAGTTTTGTGACTGTTCTTGGGATCAGTCCTGGGTCAAGCCACTGTGAGGTCCAGCTGACTACTTCACTCTCATGAATACTTTCTTTGAAATCTCTTTGAATGAAGAAAATCATTTATTGTTTTATATTTAGAGACAGGATCCCATTTGCTTTCTTTCATTCTTTTTTTGTTGTTTTTTCATCCCGACTCACATATAGAATCAAGATGTTGGCTTCCAGAAGCCCATATGTGAATTCACAGATGGCTTTTAAGGATAAATTTTTTTCTTGCCATTTGAATTATTTAGGTAATGTGCTTTACTTTCCAATACAGAATAAAAAACACTCTAAATAGACATCAGTGTCATATGGTGCCTAACGATTTCTTCAGGTACTGCCATCAATATCGTTTGGTGATGGTAGGGAATAAAACACAAACATTACTATGAGGTTTTCCTTGGACTTGCTTTCTGTAAGATTTCATTTAAAGTTGAATTCTAAAATGTTGAGAATACAACAGCTGGTATTCAAGGTTTGTTTTGAATTTATAGCTAATCAAGATAATAGTCTCTTCATAGGTAAAAGCAAAACTAGAATGCCAAAAAAAAGTAATGTACTTATAACCAATGCATTCTATTGACATATTTTAACTTTAATATTAGTTGATTTTTTACTAGAAAGGAAACAAGAGAGCATGCAGAGAACCAAGGCTTTTGTTAGGTATTGCCATAGGCATTTGGAATCAATTTGGTTTTAGTAGGTCATCATGCAAAGGGAAAACCAAACATGAGAAAGAAAACTCACTGGAAACTTGCCTCTGTAACATTCAGATCATTAAAAATCGACTTCCCCCACACCCACATCTTTATTATTAGACAGCCACCAGCAAATACACAGGTGATCCCTGTAACTTTTGGTATAAAGAACAGAAAATGTGTTACAAGCCTACCCAAGATATAACTAAGCTTCATTGCGTAAGTCCCACTCTTACGGGGATTTTCAACAAATTCTCTGGCAACCTGACAGATGTGTCATAATGTCTAATCCCTTTAAAACCCCAAAGCTCTTGGAAAGTGGATGTTTTAAAAAAGCAGATTGGAAAACATGCTGTTCTTGTCTTGAGCTTTTTCCTTCAGTATCTGTACTGCCCCCCAATCCCTTCTTTCTGCAAAGTACTATAGAAGAGGCAAGATATAAATCTAGCATTGAAATAGTGCTAGGGAAACAGGAGCTAGATGGGATTTCCCTGCAGCTGAAACAATACAAGCAGAGGTGAACCTAAATGAGCTGACCTTTCCCCAACTAAAACCTCAAAGCTCTACCAGTTGATAAGAAGACTGCTTCAGCTGAACCACTCCAGGGCAGCACGCCTGCATACCTGAGTTAAAGAAATACGTTCCAGCTTGGAGTCTGGGAGGGCAAGAGAATAAAAGTAGGGATATTCTCATAATGAAAGAAATAATACCTGCCCCTCCCCCATCAAAGATCCTTCCCAACTTGCTCAGTGTTTTGAGCTCAGGTCCATATTTCTAAATGATAGAAGTCCGTGCTTACAGTACAGCATGGTGCCAGATTCAGTGGAGGCCAGGAGATGCTTTCATGGAGTGAAGTGACACCCTTGGAATTGCACACAGTTGTGAGGTCTGCTTCTCAGACATTTGGACAACTGCCACGAGGAAGGGAGGGAGGAAATTGAGCCAGTTTGCCTTCTGTTACAGACCAGCCTTTTGGATGACAGAATTCTTTCCAATCAAAATGCCATGGATTACTCCCTGCTGTGAGCTAATAGGGTGCTAATTAGCATATTTCATTTACTTACTTAACTGGGATAGAAACCATTGGGCACGTGGCCCACTTAGAATGGTTTCCTGGGGATGCTATGAACTGTTCCGTTACCTTCATGCATTAAGGAAACCAGTTCACAGAAGCACAATACCAGGCATCCCCCCTTCCTTATCCCATCACACCTCCCTCTCCCCCAAACACACTCAGGCAGTACAGACAGGGGCTTGAGTCTAATCTGGTCTCACTTAAATAAGAATCTGAAATGAGAAATGAAATTGCATGGCCATTTCCCATGGTTCATCTCCATAAATGGTTTTTGGCAACTGCATGGACCATTCTTGACTTGCTGCTTCACCTGTAATGATGACTCTTGGGTATCAGCAGAAGCAGCAGCCTCTCCTGATCTCTTTATCACTCTTTCTCTCAGACCGGGAGCCAAATTCACACAGCAAATGAAGACTGTTGCTGGGTCCCAGGGCCCTCTCTGGACTATTACTTGGGGAATCTTAAAACACCTGTTTGACATAGTTTTCTTTTTACTTTGGGAACGACTCACTTTGTAATTCTCAAGCTGCAGTAAAGTACTTTTAAGTTCTTTGGAGTTCCATATCTGTTAATCTCTCTAATGGCATATTTTCAGTTTGTTCAGGGACAAATTATTAACAATGTGCAATGAAAACAAAGAAGCCAAAACCTACTCTGCAAAGAGGAATGTATCCCAATCTCAAATTGCTTCCTGTGGTGTGGGGCCCATGTGCTAAGCAGTATTATCAAAGGGCTGAAAAACAGGCAGTCAGTGTTCTACAAAGAACTCTGCTTGAGTGGGCAAGGAGAGAGAGAGAGAAAAGAAAAAGGCAACCTTACACAGTAGGGTGTTTTTCTACAACAGGGTAGAAATGAATATGTGTAAGGGCTTTTGTGGTATTTCTGCATAATCTTTATTTCTGAGGACTCGGTTAATGGTACCATGATACTCTTAGTTGTCAAAGCCTAAAAATCTTGGAGTCATGAATAGTTTCTCTTATTCCGAGCAGTCACTGAGTCTTGTCATTTTTACTTCCTGATGCTTCTCAGCCGTGTCTTCCCTGCTTTTCCATTGTTACTGCCTGGTTCAGGCTAAGTCACCTGCCACCTAGACCCTTGCTACTTAAAACATTCTCCATGGACTAGAGGATTAGCCTCACTTGGGAGTCGGCTGTAATTCAATGACTCTCTCATCCTCAGGACAAATCGCACTTCGCCTTTTAATAAGGCCCGCAGATGATTCATCAGTCCATTAAAATCTGAGGAGCACTGAGCTAGGCCACCATAGGCTGCCATCTTGCTGGCTTCCACCATCTGTTTCCTCTCTGCCTCCCATGCACATCCTCATGGTCCACAGATCTGATTATGATATTCGTCTGCTTAAATGTTTCCATAGCACTCCATAATCTACCAAATAAAATTATATAGCAGCTATGATATTTTCAGTCCACAATAACAGACAGCCATAAAACATAGCTTTACTTTTCTGTATAGAACATAGCTTCTATGTCAGGTTTTCTATGCTTTCTGATGTTGGGAAATTTCCTAGTTAATTCTAGATCACCACAGTTACTTCATGTTATCTCAGCCATTTCACATTTAAACTTAGTTAATCATGATTTGCTGTTCTTTACTTTTCACCTCATAGTGACATCAAAAATCCTAGGGATCGCTATAGTTTTCTGGCATCACCTGGAAGTTCATTGGCTATTTGCTGGTGCCTCTCCAGGCTGGAGTAGGTCTCCAGGCTCTGTCATCACTCCATGCTGATGTTCCCTAAGTGGCCAGACCCCCATGTTTCCATATGGTTTTGGATTTTACCATCTTTGCTGCTTTCTCTTCTGGCATATCTTTATGACAACCTTTGGGCTAGCTAACTTTCTTTCCTTTTTAGTTGATATATGAACCCATCTTGGGGGATACAGAAAGACTTGACTTCTTTGTGGCCAAGAGAGATGCAGTGGGGCTGCCCAGATCCTCTGTAACCCATATACATCCCCAGCTATTATTCTCCAGCAT